TATCCTACATGGTCTGGCACTTTTTTTTTTAATCAAATGCCATGAGTTAGTTGAGTGGCTACAAAGGGACGGCCACACATTTTTCACAGCAGATGACAGCAGCAGAGTGTTTTGATGATACTGTCATGCTCATTTCTTATATATAGCTGCATATGGTGGAGTAATGGATAACTGCTCGGATTGAGGAATCGCAGAGATGAGTTCAAATTCCAGTCGAATCCAATACATTCACTTAAGTGCTAATGCCCTTGAGAAAGGTATGACCCCTTTTCTTTTCCCTCCAGCTATAGGTAAATAGCAGGACAGAACGGGTTCTATAGATTGGGATGGCTACTGGTCTACCGCAGAAAGAAATGGCAACCTACAGCGGGAAAAAATCTGCCTCATCAGCCACCTATCGAAAGATACATGATTGCCTAAGCATGTATTATGCATGGCACATAACTGACTGATTGACATGCTAATACCCTTGGGAAAGGTATGAATCCACTTCTTTACCACAAGCTATAGGTAAATAGCAGGACAGACCGGGTTCTATAGCCTTTGATGGCAACTGTTCTACCACAGAAAGAAATGGCAATCTACTGGAGGAAAAAATCTGCCTCGTCAGTCATGTATTGAAAGATACATGATTGCCTAAGCATGTATCATGCATGGCACATAACTGTCTGACTAAGGCATTTGTTATTATTTTAATTTCAGCTTGTTTTAACTTTATATTGCATGAAACAATAAAAAAATCTTGTTTGGAAGTATTAATGATTGTTTTATTTCTTGTTTTAAGCTTTGTTCAACATTTGATAACAGCAATATGTATTTTATTTACATTATTCGGACTATTGTCCTCATCTTTGTCCCCATATTTATTTCAATGTTTCGGCCGTTGTACACTCCGGTCTTCTTCAGGTGGTTGGAATGTTGAACTGAACCCTTTATTTCGCTCACTGGGGTAGACTGTTCTAGTACCACGTGCCATGTTTAATGGATGTCAGTTATCAGTTATCTCCTGTTAATTCCCCTCTGGAAGTTCTCCACTGCCTTAACCGGTTATTGAACTCACACTCCTTGAGGACACATGGTACAGTGTAATGTAAATAAAGTACATAATACCTCATCTTAGAAATATAGATAGATACTCAAGTATGAGGTAACAGACACTTTGATAACAGCATATTTATTACAACGTTTCGGCCGTTGTATGCTTCGGCCTTCTTCAGGTGGTTGGAATGTCGAACTGAAACAACCACCGGAAGAAGGCCGGAGCGTACAACAGCCGAAACATTGTAATAAATATGTGGAGAAAGATGAGGACAATAGTCTGAATAATGTAAATAATGCATATAATAATACCTCATCTCAGCAATATGTATGTGAACTTGCAAGAGTAATGTAGAGTTTTCTTAAGCTTGATTTCTTTCATCCATTATATTCTCTGGTGTGGCAGTGACCTGTTCACAAGGGTGCCGGATTAAAGAGGTTGAACTATATACAGTCAGGGAAAGAATTATGGAGGTAAAAAATGAACTGCAGAGCACAGCTGTGAGTGGAATGTTCTCCATTGATCTCGACTTATTCTGTATTCTATAATTGTAGGCATGCTAGAGTAGAGTACATACTTAACACTCAAAGATTTTTTCATGCCATGTCCTTTCAGGATGTTGACAATATGGCTCTTCACAGATTGTCGTAATTCCCCATGTATAATATGCCTTCATCCTTAATATGCACCCCTAAATTTGTGCTGAAAGTGTGGGAAAATGCTTCTACTCATGCATAATATGCACCCCTTATTTGATAATCAAACCCTATAAATTGTATCTCTCCAATTTCATTACGGCCAGTGTTTCATACTCTTATTCAAGCTGTATTTGAAGATATGTATCAAAAGTTTTGATCATTACTATTCTAAAAGGAAACAGAAATAACTATATTATAGTAAGTATTTGTTACATTTTTATTTTAAGCTTGTTTTAACTTTGTATTGCTTGAAACAATAAAAAAAAAACCTTGTTTGGAAGTATTAATAATTGTTTTATTTTCTGTTTTAAGTTTGCTCAGATAACACAGCAATATGGGGAATGAACTTGCTAGATTATATTGACATATTTTTTTTTCAATATTTCTTTATTTTGTTTTGCCTTAAGCAATTTTTTGTCTTCTTTTTTATCCCTCTTAAATGTTACAAGAAATAGGCTTGTTGCTTGAAGCCAGAATAAAAATAAGACTTTCAGAAGGAATATCCTAAAAAAAATCACATTCCAATGACTCCATACCACATCAGTTGAAGACATCTAACAGCAGCAACAAGAAAATGGATAGCACATGCGACTCGAAGAGAAAATGATGACTTTTCACATTACCAAAAACAAAAGGATAGGAAGGTAACTTTCATCAATAGTAAAAAGAGCAATTCGGTTCAATGTCTTTAATCTGGCATTCCTTGGTCTGGCAATTCTCATGGTCTGGCACATTTTTGCATCTACTGCCATTAACTTCTTTGATTGACTATGAGAGCAATGCCACAACTCTCTGCCGCAGAGTGTTTTGGTGAAATGTTCTTGCTCATTTCTTATATATAACTCTATATTTATCCATTCAGGAAAGTAAGACTTTGTTATTTTTTATTTTAAGCTTGTTTTAACTTTGTATTGCATGAAAGAATAAAAAAAAACCTTGTTTGGAAGTATTAATAATTGTTTTATTTCCTGTTTTAAGCTTGGTCAAACTTTCATAACAGCAATATGTATATTGAGTTAACTTGCAAGACTAAGATAGGGTTTTCTTAAGTTTCCTTTCAGGATGTTGATAATATGGCTCTTCACAGATTGTTGTAATTCCCCATGTATAATACGCCTTCATCTTAATATGCACCCCTAAAATTGTGCTGAAAGTGTGGGAAAATGATTCTACTCATGCATAATATGCACCCCTTATTTGGTAATCAAACCCTATAAATTGTATCTCTCCAATTTCATTACGGCCACTGTTTCATACTCTTATACAAGCGGTATTTGAAGATATGAATAAAAAGTTTTGATCATTACTATTCTAAAAGGAAACAGAAATAACTATATTATAGTAAGTTTTTTGTTATTTTTTTATTTTAAGCTTGTTTTAACTTTGTATTGCTTGAAACAATAAAAAAAAAACTTGTTTGGAAGTATTAGTGATTGTTTTATTTTCTGTTTTAAGCTTTGTTCAAACCTTTGATAACTGCAATATGTATGTTGAGTGAACTTGCAAGACTATGTTTAGATAGGGTTTTCTTAAGGTTGATTTCTTTCATACATTATATTTTCTGGTGTGGTAGTGACCTGGTCACATGGGTGCCAGATTAAAGTGGTTGAGCTGGAAAGGATTATGGAGTTAAAAATTAACTGCAGAGTGCATCTGTGGATGGTATGTTCTCAAGTGATCTTGACTTATTCTGTACCAGTAGGCTTTGCCTGCTTGCTATTGCTTTGCAAAGTAAAATATATTAATTATTTGAAATCTTTGAAAAAAAAATTTTAAATGAACATTTCATTCATAAATTGCCTGTTTATAGTTAAGGAAAGTTTTACAAATAGATGCCAACTTGTTGAAGGTTAAGTAAAATGCAAATCTCAAATATGCAACTGAGTAAAATTATACCGAGAGGTGCCCAGCCCTGGGGAACAGTTGCCCAAGGTTGTGCTCCCTCATTGTACCAGAGAGAGGGATAAGTGCTCACACCAAGGCCAGTGCAACTGACGGTTGCGGTGGCTCAGGTAATTTCTGTTCCTAGCCCGGGTGTACACGCTCGGGATCCCCACATTAAACCAATCTTGTTTCACAACCTGACCTCATAGGGGGGTTGAGTAAATACAAATTGCTATAAAGTAGAGCTGGAGATTTTTAAGCTAGTGTTTGATGAAAAAAAAAAAAACTACATCAGTACATTATGAACATCAAATCTTATATATAAAGTATAATGTTTGTGTGTGTCCAAGCAACTCCTCCGCTCCCACTGGTTCGATTTCAATGATTCATAGCTCATTCAAAAGCCCGAACGATTTTCATTAAGCTCAGATTCAGAGTTCTTTTATTCATATTTATTTTATTTGCTTATTTATTTTTATTAATTCTAATGGTTATTTTAGCGGTAACGATTTTTTGATTTGATCATTTATTTATTTATTTGGATTAATTTTTACTCATTTTTTCTTATTTGTTTGCTTTTTTTAATTTTGCATATTTTTATCTACTCTATTTGGTTTTAGATTTTTGAGTTGTGTAGAAATTTTTCTTATCATTGTATAGCAGTTATAGTCATTTTCCCGCCCAAGTTTTGGATTGATTGATGTAGTCTATTCTAACAGTTATTTTGGTGGGGTTGGTTCCTTGATTTGTTTATTGTTTACTTTATTTATTTATTTATATTCGTTATTTTTATTTTGTGTATTTATTTTCTATTTTGATTTGTTCTATTTCGTCTATTCTAACGGGAGTGGTTTGTTAATTTGTATATTATTTGCTTGAGTTTTTTATTTTACTTGTTTTTTTAAATTTTTTTGCTTATTTTTATTTGATCTTTTTCAGTTTTCGATTTCTATGTAACATAGTAAAAATTTGTTTTCATGTCTGAAATATATATATATATATATATATATATATGAGTTTATTATTATTTCTCTCTATCATAATTTCTTTCTGAAATAGTTGTCTCAGTTATTTCATATAGCAAATTTATTGCTTTATCTGTGTCATGGTAATTTACCAATACATGCTTGAACTCTCCCAACTATAAATAGGAGCAGGTACTGCCTTTTGAAGAGGGAAGTTTCCAGCTGCTGCCCTGACAGTCGGACATAACATTCCTGCTGTAATACTCTCGTTTGTATTACTGTTTCTGTTAATATATTTGTTTAACTCAATTCCTCTCTTGTGTCATTATTTCTGGCCCTAACAAGGCCACAACACTGAGTCTGATTGTATATGTATGTATGTATGTATGTATATATGTCTTTATGTATATAAGTATGTATCTATCCATGTATCTATCTCAGTCTATTCATATCTATCTATCAATCTGTATATTCATATCTATCTCAGTAATACATATCTATCTGAGTGCCTTCATATCTGTCTATTGAACTATATCAGACTATTGACATCTATCTCATATCTATCAATCTCAGTCTATTCTATCTATCTATCTATCTATCTATCTATCTCAGTCTATAAGTATCTAAGTGTGTTCATATCTATCTATTGAACTCAGTACAATCATATCTCAGTAAATTCATACTATCTATCTATTTATCTCAGTCCATCTATATCTATGTATCTATCTACCTATCTGTCTGTGTTCATATATGTCTGTCGAACTATATCACTCTATTCATATCTATTACAGTATAACCGTATCTATCTATCTATCTATCTATCTATCTATCTAAGTGTTTTTCATATCTGATTAAGAAGCTATCTCATTCTATTCATATCTATTTCAGTCTATTCACATCCATTTATCGATCTGTCTGACTGTGCTTATATCTTCCCATCAAACTATCTCAGACTATTAATCTCTGTCTCAGTCTATCTATCTATCTATCTATCTATCTATCTATCTATCTATCTCAGTCTATACATATCTATCTATCTATCTCAGTCTATACATATCTATCTATCTATCTATCTATCTATCTATCTATCTATCTCAGTCTATACATATCTATCTATCTATCTCAGTCTATACATATCTATCTATGTATCTATCTCAGTCTATACATATCTATCTATGTATCTATCTCAGTCTATACATATCTATCTATCTATCTCAGTCTATACATATCTATCTATCTGAGAGTGTTCATATATGTCTTTTGAAATATAACAATCTATTTGTATCTATCCTGGTTTATTGATATCTATCAATCTATCTCAGTCTATACATATCTATCAAAATATCTCTGTCAGTATATTCATATCTATCTATCTATCTATCTATCTATCTAGGTAGCTAGATAGCTAGCTAACTCAGTTGTACATATCTATTGAACTATATCAGTCTATTAGCATCTATGTATCTATCAATCTCAGTGTGTTCATGTTTTTCTATCAAACAATCTCAGTCTATTCTATCTATCTATCTATCTATCTATCTATTGATTTTAATCTAAACATATCTATCTGTTCATTGAATTATCACAATCTATTCATTTCTATCTCTATATATAGTTTATTGATATTTATCAATCTCTCTAATTCTATAATATCTATGTATATATCTATCCGTGTGTTCATATCTATCTATTTGTCTATATATATATATATATATATATATATATATATATATAAATGTGTTCATATGTGTCTATCAAACTATTTCAGTCTATTCACATCCATCTATCTGAATGTGTTCATATCTATCAAATTATTTCAGTCTCTCCATATCTATCTATCTATCTATCTATCTATCTATCTATCTATCTATCTATCTATCTATCTATCTCAGTCTGTTCAGTCTGTTCATATCTATCTATCTGACATGAACTGACATGACCTCTCACTTCACACCATTTATTAGTTTTTGCACTTGGACTCTTATCTGTCAATACCTGGTTCATTTTCTTCGACACTTCAGAAAAGCTTTCACCGTCTGCTCTGTTTCCCTATCTTTCTCCTCATCATGAATTGTACATCATGATACTTTCATTTTGGACTCAGTCCTACCACTTTCCTTAATGTTACACATGTGAGACATCTTCCGGCTTACACAGAGTACCATTTACACTCGATAAAAATGCTTCGTGATCAGACAAAATTGAACAAAATAATGTTCATAATGGATCCTGTTTCACACACTCCCAAACCCACACACATATATATATATATATTCAACACCATCACTTGATAAGACAGCAGACGTGTTGAAACAAAATGGCTATTTTTGTAGTGATTTTATAACATATTTACATTATAATTTTCAAATATATATATATATATATATATATATATATATATATATATAAAGTGAACATTGAAGTCAACACTCAAAGGCATCCAGCATGAAACAGCCCGTCGCCTCAGAGTGTTGACTTCAATGTTCACTTTATGTTTATATTTGCATACGCTCTATCTCTGATATTGAGCACTTTATCCCATAAATATAGCACACCTTAAAACTATATTTCTTCATATATATATATATATATATATAAATATATATATATATATATATATATATCGGCGGCCTGACGATTGTGTCCAGCATGAAACAGCCTGTCGCCTCTGAGTGTTGACTTGAATGTTCATTTGTATATTTATTTTTACATACTATCTACCTCTGATATTGAGCACTTTATCCCAAAAATATACTACACCTTAGACTATATTCCTTCATATATATATATATATATATATTTATGAAGCAGGCATAATATCGATCTCATGCATGGTGAACACTAGACCTGGCTTCTTTAATATTTCCCCTTTTCTAGCAAGATTAATGCTCGACAAACGTACATATAAGTTTTAGATCAAAATAAAATTCTTTTCGTTTTTCATTCAAAATACTCAAATTTTAGGAATACGTTTTCACAACGTCGTCCACGTGACGACGACGTGATCATATTTAAACGGAACGCTGATCTTATAAAAGATTTCAGTTATCTGTTTGGATTGGTATTGCTTTTATGTCCATCGTCTATTTCATGTTGAATTGTTTATGGTCTATGTTAATTATGTTTTATGAATATGTCCTGAAGATGGTCTATTAGACCGAAACGTCCGACGTTGACATTAAACATTAAAACAGCATAATCGCATATTAGGATTTTTGTTTGTTTTTTCAGTATATGTTTCTTCATATATATATATATATATATATATATATATATATATATACACATGTATATATAACATTTTTTATGTGTACTTATGCATTTATATATTTTTGTGTGTGTGTGTCCATATATATCAATGACGTCAGGTTTTATTAAGTTAATGATTACAAATAAATGTAGTATTAACAACTGACACGGGTAAAGCTTTCAAGTTTGAACGTGTGAGCAACCACAAAGTTCGAGAGAAAATGGAAACAAAAAGGGTGCACATCATGAAGAGAAGACTGAAAAATGGCTTGGAAAATCTGACACACACAGAACAGATTCAAGGCAAGAGAAACAGAGGGGAAACAATGGTTAATCTCCCTAGTGAGCTTGTGTAAATGGATGGCAGAACAGTGTTTAGCGGAGACAATAAAAAGACAAAATTTATTTAGGGATATGAAGGACGGGAAATTGTGGGAAGCCATGATCGCCTACGACCTGAAGGGACATGGCACAGAGAGAGGGAGGGAGAGTTAGATAATAAATATATCGTGTGAATTTTAGATTATAATATATTTTTATTACAAATAGATACAGTAACTTATTTGAGTGTATGAGATTTTTAACTCATGCGTCTATCTATCTATCTATCTATCTATCTATCTATCTCAATTTACTCATATCTATCACATTATGTTCATTATCTATCTCAGTTGGTTCGTATCTATCTCAGGATGTTTCTATCTATCTATCTATCTATCTATCTATTATTTCAAACGTTATTTTAATACAAACCAGTCTTTGAGTATACTCTGGATTTTTATTTCAAACTGCATTTATTTCTTCTACCAGTCTGAAAATCCGAGAAAACTTATAAAAGTAAATGAGTTTCCTGGCAGGATTCGAACCTGCGTCTCCAACCTAAGCGCACATTTACTCAATAAGTTTTCTCAAATGTGCAAGCCAGTAGATGAAATAAATACTGTTTAAAATAAAAACGGAGTATCTAAAACACGGGTATGAAGTAAAAAAAAAAAAAAGTTTAAAATAATAATTAAAATGTCGGATTAAATAAGAAAATCGATTAATTAATCCATTTTTTTTCGATGTATGAGGATCTGACAATCTCAGTTTCTATGTTTGTATTGTATGTGACACTTCGGTCTCTCCAGTGACCTACATACAAGTCCACATATTGTGTCAAAAGCGAGGATCTCGGGACATAGCCACAAGAATATTTGCTGATGCTTTTCAAAGTTTCTCATTTCTCACTTAGCCAATCAATACGACTGATTTCAAAATTTCTGATACCACTCGAACACAAATATCTCTAGTTATTTCTATCCAGTGCAACTCACTTGAAGTTAGTATGATGCACATTGACACCTAAGAGGTTACTCTTTAATCTTTTGGTTGTCTTTATACCTGAGCCATGGCTGTCCAACAGTCTTTTGTCCACAGTCAAATATGTATTCTTTATATATATATATATATATATATATATATATATATATATATTAAAATGGTTATAATTGTTCCAACGTGAGAAAAATGTATATTTTTTAAAAAGAGAAAAACCTCAAACGTTTTTGGTTATTGATGTGGGGCCAAAGTTGGGACCACAGAAGTAAAACACGGAACACGGATTAGATGTAAGAAAGATATATTAACAACAGGTTACAGAGATAGTGTAAGCGGAGCTTACTATGTCACTCTCTATGCCACTCAGTGTGTCTCTGTGCGACTCTCTAGAGTGCTATGTCGCCTACTTAATATAGGCCTGGAAGAGTCTATTGTGTAGGTATTTTCCGGTCTCACAATAGTTCTAATGTGGATTTGTTTTAATGTATATATTATATTTTATTCTTTACGTTTTTACATGTGTTTCCAGTCTCGTGACCTTCTTCTGGCAAATGAAAGGAATCAACTTTTAAAGGAATAAAATTTCCTTATGTTCTTTTAATATTTCATTGTTCATTTTCTGTATTTGTAGTGAACCGTGATCGCATTTTTTCGATTGTTGGCAAAAGTGATTTATATAGTAAAGATAACACATCCTTTGGTATATAATTTAAGTGGTAATATAAAATATTAAAACTGATCCACAAAAAGGGCTCAATGTATTTATTATTACAGAGCAATATAATTAGCAAACAATAAAATCAATATAATAATGACAGAGCAATATAATTAATAGGCAATAAAATCCACATGAGGTAATTTTGGATGTTATTGTTTATTAACAACAACAACAAACAATAATAATAATAATAATAATAATAAAATATATATATATATATATATATATATATATATATATATATATATATGCAAATATATGATTGGTGTATACGGAATAAATTCCAATAACCAACAATTACTATTCGTAAAAGAGTGCTCAATGCAGAGTAGAGCAGATATAATTATTTATTTAAAAATTATAACATAAATATATTATAAAATCAGTAAAAAAAATAGCCATTTTGTTTCAACACCTCCGGTGTCTTATCAAGTGATGATGTTGAATGTAAAATAAATGGTTTATTTATCTTACATTCAACATCATCACTTTTTAAGACACCGGAGGTGTTGGATATTTTTATAGTGATTTTATAACATATTTATGTTATAATTTTTAAATAAATAATTATATATATATCTATATATCTATATATATTGTTTAAGACATTTTTTTATGTTTATACGTTCTTTTTATAGATACAAATATATAAGTAGGTGCTCTGTTTATAATAAACAGCATTAACAACATTTACCGGTCTGAATGTCCGAGAAATTATAATTATATTATAAACAGACCATTTACTTAAATATTTGTATCTATAAAAAGAAACATAAAATATGTCTTTAAAAAATGATTGTCGGACTTTGTCTATTTCATAATGTATATATATATATATATATATATATATATATATATATATGTGTGTGTGTGTGTGTGTGTGTGTGTGTGTGTGTGTGTGTGTGTGAATTTGGATCAAATATGGTTTGGATTTTGCAGAATGATAAGAAACAACATGGAATCTTTTATAAATCTTATACGTTTCGGTTTTTATGAAAGCTCCATCAGAGAATGAAATATGGAGTTGAAAAAGAAAATTCTGCTATTTTTAATTTTTGTGTTGTTTGTTTTCATTGGTTAAACAGATCTCACCTGCATCTGTCTTTTCAAGCAGCGTTCCTGTATATAATTCATACCATCAAGTGTATCATAATTCTAGTTTTCCTGTGTGGGATTCAGATGATAATGTATATTCGTTTTTTGTGTGTACATACTAGGCATTTTTAAAGAAAATTCTACTATTTTTAATTTTTGCGTTATTTATTTTTCATTGATTAAACACACACACATTACCACCTTTATATCTGTGGAACTTTAAATCGGGAAGATAATTTTCTAAAATGTTTATTTATTATGTTTTTTTTTTGTTTTTTTTTTTAGATATTTTCACCCTAAACAGTGTAATAAAGGCACTAAATGCTAGTGGTTACTGAATGTGAGAGAATATGAGAAAAAGATAAACATTATTAAGGAGAGAGAACTGAACAAAAGGAGAAATTAAGAAGACAAAAAATAACGATCGACATTACATTTAATTCTTTGAAGATCAAAGTTGAATGGAAAGCAAGAAGAGAGTTTCACAAGTGAGAAGTGCGACAGAAGAAACTGTCAACATAGAATGTACGGTTATATCTAGC